TTATGCATATGAAATAAAACCAGTCCCTGAAGAAAAATGTTGCAGGGTTCCTCTTATATGAGGCACTTAGGAGAGGCAAGTTCAGAGAGACAGAAGAAGGAGGTTATCAGGGGATGCAGGAAGGGAAGAAGGGGGCGTTATTGCTTAATGGGTGAAAGTCATGTTGGGGAAAAGAAAAACGTTTTGCACATAGAGAGTGGTGATGGATACATCGTGAATGCAATTAGTGCCAAAGACGCTGCCCTTAAAAGTGGTTAAGGTTATATATAATGATACATATATTTTGCCACAATTTAATGGATCAAAGGGTCTGTGGGTTGGCTTAACTGTTCTTTTTCATGATGTGGCTAAGGTTTGAGCAGAAGCAGAGAAGGAGGGTGGTATGGGGACAGCACTTGGGCTAGTGACCTGGACACTCTCAACTGCTTCCTGTCACCTCCACCATTTACTTTGGCCCCAAGCTCTGCGTCTAGCAGTGGGGACTGGCCCTACTGAACTGTGTGCACATGTCCCTGTCACCCCCCCCCACCGTCCAGCAGCTGCAGACCCACTTGGCCACAGTGCCAAGTTCTCTCCTGCCGGGCTGCCCTTGGGAGTAACGTCATCCTTCCCTGGTGGTCGGTGACATCTGCTCCACCAGGTACCTGGTAGAACATCCAAGAAGGAAGAGATGGCTGAGATTAGGGCTCCAGCCTCTCACCTACTGGGAGAAAGATTTCTCTGCTGTAGGCCCTATCTAGGCCTTAGGCACCCCACTGCCCATCGCCTGAGAACATTTCCACCGACTCCATGTGATAGCTGGAACACAGCAACTCAGCCTTTCAGCCTCAGCCTTTCGGTCTTGTCTTCCAGAAGGTGTGAAATTCTGAAAGGCAGAGTGAGAACCTAGTTAAAATCATGACTAGATTAAAATGATCACTAGATCGGACAAAATAGATTAGAGCATCCCAAGAAAATTATGCTGTAAATTTTACACTAGACCTTGAGACAAGCTTGCTGGTGGCTTGGGGAGTTTAATGTTGCCAAGGGCCTGCTCCTGACCTCTGGAAGGTCAGAGTCCTGAGCTGTGCAGCCACTGAGAAAGTCCAAGTGTGGAGCCGAGGGACCCTCGGCTGGATCCATTGCAGAACACCACCTTCCGTGTGTGAGCAGCAGCCGTGCTGGCTAATGGCTCCCAGCACAGCCGAGTCCAGCCACCTAGGAGGAGCTGGTCAGTTGGGACACGTGGAGTTTCAGCCCCATTGAAACTAGGAATAGAGGTGGTTGGAGAAGTGGACAGTGTCTTGTGTGCCTTCCCATCAGGGTGGAGAGTTGATTGAGATGTGTACGCCACAGGGGACCAGCTGGGTTCACTTTTGTGCTTTCTCCCGGGACCAAATGGCCTTTTATGTGGTCTGCCAGGCCTGAGCCACTGCAGATGGACCTGTTATAAAAATAAAGCTTTCCAAGAACAGGATCCTGGTATTTTAACCTAGCTCAGCATCTGCCCCTCTTAGGGTTCTGTCTCCTTCTCCTCCACCCTTTCATGACAGTGTCTGCAGCCTGGGTTCCCTCGGCCCTCCCAGCAGGGACAAGTAAGAGCAAGGGCACCCATGTAAGGCTGACTCTCTGTACCCAGCTCCAGCATTACTAGCTGAGTTATTTGTGGCAACTTAACCTCTGCAAATCTCAGTTTTCTCACCTCTAAAATGGGCATACTTATTGTACCTAAGTTATCCAGTATTATGTGAGACAAACTAGACAAAATGTATTGCACCCATTTAGCACAGTCTTTGGCTCATGGTTAGCTCTACATAATTGTGAACTGAGATCCTTCTTCTGGTCTCTTCTACTTCTTAGTTATCACAACCCTCTTCCTCCTCCTCTCCTTCCTCCTCCATCAATCTTCCTCTATGGATTTGCAAGTCCAAGAGTAAGAGTTCTTCTACATTTTGCTGTCTCTGTGGGAAACAGAGCAGACTCATGGGACAAAAGGAGCAGGTTCTGTGTCCGTCATTCTGCTTGCAGGCCTGTCCTGGTCAGTTTCAGGAGTGTGGCCCTGAAACTGCGTGTTCCCAGCTCTGAGGGCCCCCTACAGTATACCCAGATCCGCAGCCTGGGTTTCCGGCTCCCACGTCCCATCGCAGCCTCTCTGTGGGTGGACACAGTGAGTCACAGAGTGACTTGCCTCTGCTGCAAAAGTGGGCAGCGGCAGTCAGCCTCCTGAGAGGTCAGCTCTGCGCAGGGAGTCCAGCTGCCTCCTAACCTGGTTACTGCCGAGAGCCGCCTTGGAAGGGCGTGCCTGCCACCTGCTGGCCGAGGGCAGCACGACACCTGGGTGTCCCTTCGGATCTGTTTAGAGCCAAGATTCACGCTCTGGCTCAGGCCCAGGTCCTGAAGACCCTTCCCTGGTGGGGTCCAAGAAAGGGTATCCCCACAGTCCTCTCTCCTGTCCCGCACACTTCTCAGGGCTGATGGTAGCCAGGCACGGGCCACCCTCCTCAGTTCAGAGAGAAGAGTTCCTGCGGTACCTCCTGAGGAGCGGGCAGCCCTGTCCTCTGGACAAGTTCAATGGAGGGCAGGTGGAGCAGGGTACAGCGACCAGGGCCAAGCACCAGCCAGTGGCTGCAGTGAGGCAAGGTTGGAGGAGGAGTGACGTCTGTCCCCAGGGCCCCCATGCCCCATGCTGACACCCAGAGCGTCCTCAGGTGCTCCCTGTACCTGACCCCCTCCCTAGGCAAGACTCCCAGCCCAGTCCCCCAACAAAACACCTGCTCCCGCCTCACTGGTGTAGAAAATGGGGCAGAGGTACAGGCCCAGACCTCACAGGACCGCCCCTCTTTGCTTTTCTCCTTCTTTGGCATTCCTTTCTCCTCCCTCAATTTTTATTTTGTGAGTTTTCAAACCTACAGAAAAATGGAAATAATAACAACACAGTGGACATCCTTCACCCTCCGAGATCAATTGTTAACATTTTGCCACTTTCATGCTCCCTTCTCCTTCCTGTGTGTGTGTGTGTGTGTTCTTTTGTTTGCTAAATCATTTGCAGATAGAGAGCAGACACCACCCTAAATACTTGAGCAGGCGCATCTTAGAATAAGCATTTTCCTATGAATTTATGGCAACGTTATCCATCCCCAAGAAATTCGACACTATATGGTAATACCATGTAAATATTTAAACTACCCAGTTGTCTCAGTCATGACCTTTGTGGTGGTGCTTCTCTTAAATTCAGGATCCAATCAAAGGACCACACACTGAATTCAGTTGCCAAGTCTCTTGAAACAAAGGACAGCCCTCCATTGTTTTCTCTCCTTTGAGGCTGACTCTGGAGGAGTGGAGGCTCACCCTTCTGTAGAATGCCCTGGGGTTTGGCTCTCCACTGGGACCTGTGTGTTCCCTGAGGGTGGATTCAAGAGGCGCCTGTTTTTCCACATTGCTCTCTGTACTGCACATCAGGAGGTGTTCCCTGTCTCTTCTTATCTTCCTTTCTAATTCGTCCTCTTCCTACTTCCCAAAGATGTTTAAGGAAACCAACAGCAAAACAGAAAATTAAAACTTCAGCTGAAGGTGGAGGAAGCAAAGCTATTGAGCTGCGTGCATCCCCTGGGTCCTGGGAGGGAGCACCCGGAGCTCAGCTTTCCTGCAGCCAGGACCCGAGGGCAAGTCTGCCCAGGGATAAAGCTCTCATTTTCTAATCAGAGGTCAGAGGACTTTGTCTGTAAAGTGCCTGTAGTGTTTTTTTCTGAGCTACGCTTTCTCTGTCACAAATATTCTGCCCGTGTTGGCACAAAAGTAGTCATTAAAAAAAAAAAATGGGAGCTGGGGTTGTGGCTCAGTGGCAGAGTGCTCGCCTAGAATGTGTGAGGCACTGGGTTTGATCCTCAGCACCGCGTATCAACAAATAAAATAAAGGTCCATTGACAACTAAAAAAATATATTTAAAAAAAGGAAAAATGGTCATGGGACTATTTTCCAATAAAACTTTATTTATAAAGCCCAACTGTGGGGCACTGCCCCAGGGCCTTAGTGTGAGGCTCCCTGTTTGAAGGGAAAGAACCTATTCCAGTTATGGGGTGAGTTCAGGTTTCTTCTTCTGGTTAAGAACTGCATTCTAAAGGGAACTGTTTATATCACTCATCAGCAAAACCTTCTGAGGAATGCCACGGGCCAGGCACATGCTAGACATTGAGTGATGCGCCCGTGACAAGATGAAGATCTCCATAGAATCTAATCTCAGAGGCAGAGGACAGGCAAAAGTGAACAAGTATAAAACGAGGCTGTAATGAGGACCATGGTGGGGATAAACAGGTGTAGTAACAGAAAAACAAAAATAGAGTGAGGGATGTCCTACTGATTGAAATGGTGCTTGGGGAAGGCCTTCTTAAGAGGATGGCATTTAAATTGAGACCTGATAGACTGTGGGGAAGGAGGTCCAGGTAGTGAAGACAGCCAGTCCAAAGGCCCTGAGGTGGAAGGAACTTGGCTTGTGCCATTTAGAAGCTGGGTGTGGCTGGTGCTTAGTAAAGGGCAGGGGGAGGAAGGAGTATGGGAAGAGGTTGGAGGTCCAGGTGGGTGCTCGTAATTTATTCCAAGAACAACGGAAATGTCTGGTGAGTTTTAAGCATTTGCCCACCCCCAATCCCCAAAGGCTGTCACTCGGACATGAGCCTAAATTCAGACCTCGTCACAGCTATGTGACCTGAGTCTGCCTTTCTTCCTCAAAGGCCTCCCATGGGGTTGTTAGAACATAAGGGGCAACCAGGCAGATAATCACTTCAACTGGCCGGAACGTCAGGACCTGGGCTCTGTGGGCCCACAGGTGTGTGCAGGCAACACGAGTCTCTGCTGAGGAGGAAAAGGGGCATCTACAAGTAGACCCCACCCCACTCAGAAGGCGCCCAGTGCTCCTGTGTCCTGGATCTGGTCCTCTCTGGCTTCCGGAAGCCCAGGGAGTGCCCCGCTGCCTGGCCTGGCCTGGTCCAACGTGCTGTGTCTGTTGCTTTGTTTTTCAGTTCTCCTTGATGCCTTTCCTCGATGACCTGGACCCAGGTGAGTGTGCTGACCACCCTGTGGCTTCCCACCCTCCTACTGATTCCGAGCTGGAGGAAGGGCAGGTATTACAGGGCTCTCAGGTCCAGCTGGTTCAGAGGGGTCACAGACCCCTTAGGGAATTTTTCCAGGAACATTCCCCTCACTCAGTGCTTTGCACAACTTCAAGTTGCCCTGGGACACCTCGGATGGCCAGTCTGAGAAGCTCAGGGGGAAAGCTCCCTCATCTTACAGAGAAAGAGACCGAGACCCAGAGAGGGAGGCAACTTTCTCCTTGTCCCACAGCCCGTTGGTGGCTGAAGTGACATACAAAGGCTAAGTCAGGGTGTGCCTGAGCGATGGCCGGCTTCAGGAAGGTGGACCCACTCGACCCCTCTGGTGGGGAGCCAGGACCCCATTTCCTCTACCCGGTCCCCACAGCCATACTAACCTCCTCCCATCATCCTCCTGTGGTCGCTGGCTCTGGGTGCCTGTCTCCCTTGGTTCTAAGAGTCCTGAGGAGGAACCTTGGATCATGGCTGCCTCTGTCCAGAGGCTGACACTCCCATGATAGGGACTGGCACCCCCTGAGGATGGGAACCAGACACAGAGGCCATGGTCATGTCTGAACTTTGGATCAAGGGCTGACTTGGAGCAAGGCGAACAGTAGCCAGGTCAGAAGCAGCTCAGTGGTGACACTCTCCAGCAGCCAAGCCCAGACAGACGTACGGGCAGACAGACATAAGGAGCCCAGAGCATGAGGCTCCAGGACCCCATGGGCTCAGGGAACGCAGTGGAAATACTCATGGGGCCTGGGTTTTGAGAGATTTTGCATCTTTCCCCAAAGCTAAGGAGAGTACTTGGTAGTGTGGAATCCAGATCCTCTGGAGGTCACATTCCAAGGGCTGTCCTTGTGATGGCCATCCATCGCCCACACGCACAGCCAGCGAGAGGCCGAGGGGCTGGAAAGGCTGCCTCTGCCTCAGGCACCATTAAAGGCCTGGGTGTCAAAGAGACAGAGCTGCAGAGGTTGTGGAGAGACATAGGAGGAGACGAGAGAAGACTCAAGAGACCTCACTGTCTTTGAGTGTCTGAAAAGCAGCCCCACCCCTGGTCTAGGAGGCAACTTTGTGGAAATTCCGGAGTTTCTCTACCACAAGACACTTTACTGCCATCTGCTAGAACATTGTCAAAGATGTCTACAGTGAGTTTAGACATCCTGGAATGGTGCAGAGAACAACTTGAACAACCCTACCTCACAGAGATGATGGAGAAGGAGTGGATTCATTCTTTGGGCCATAAGTTTCAGAGCTGCCGTTCAGTAGATTGGAAGCTGTAGGGTCGGGTTTGATCTGCAGTCGGGAAGAACTTCCAAACCAGCAGAATTCTCCAAAAATCTGAATGGGCCCTCAGAACCTTAGGAGTTAATAGGTTCCCCATCCCTGGAGGTGTTTAAGCAGAGGATTGAGCACCCCGTGAAATTGGGCCCTACAAGAATTCTGCTAATGGCTTGTGGGAATTTGTTGAGAGAATGAATGGGCCCTGGGGCAGGCTGCTCCTAAGACCCACCTCGAGGTGCTCCAAGAGCCTCTGGCTTCGGGGCAGGGGGATACTTCATGCAAAGAGCAGGCTAGGTGTTAAGCCATGCCCGTCAGGTGTGTGATTGAATGGCATGGGGTTGTGCTTTGATGGACTTTGTCATCTCCTGCAGGCTCCAGACAGCAGTGTGGGGAGGGGACACTTTGTTCATGCCCACAGGCAAGCCGCTTCTTTGGTTAGTCTTGCTAGAGACAGTGCACAGCGAGGGCCTGGCTGGAGCAGAAGGTGTCCAGTCCCAGTGGGCAGTGAAGGAGGTGGTCATCAAACAGCACAGACTCTGCCCATCTCCCCAAAGCAGGTGACACAGCAGCCAGCAGGCCTGCGGAAATGCCTCTTCAAAGCTGGCTGGGCTCTGCCCTGCAACACAGGCCAAACCCATCCATCAGCTGTCCTTCCGCCTGCCAGCGAGGCCCTGTGCTGCGCTTGCCCCGTCAGCCAGAGTGGAAGCGTCAAATGCAGTCCGACAGGGCTGGGCCCGGGGGGAGGCCCTCGGCGGAGCTGTCCGTGCCGCTGTGATGGATGACGCCAACAGGGACGACATTCCGGGGATTTTTATTCTGTTCCGCACATCTGGCAAGCTCTTTAACCAGAGCAGCTGCGAAGCCCCCATTGCAGGACCTCTGCGCTTGTTCTGAGAGATGCTAAACGTGGACACAGTAATCTTGGTGGAAGGACCTGGAGCACGTGCTAAAGATATCCCAGTGCATGTTGCTTCCTGAAAGCTAAAACCCATGGAGTTTCTGAAACATAAACCCAAACGAGGCTCATAAAGAGGCAAACACGACTTGGAGTTAGGTAGATCTGGGCTAGGACGCCAGGTCCTTCTGCTTTGGTTTTTCCTTATCTGTGGAACAGAATAGTGTCACATATGCCTTGGGGATGCTTCAGGTTAAGTAAGATAGTGCACAACCACAGGACTTAGCCTAGTGTCGACCCCTAGGAAGGATTCAGTATGCAATAACCTGTCATTAGGACTCTCTGGTTAACTGAGCATGACCTCACCATTCCTCCTGGTAGTTCCTAGAAACAGACTCTGATACGTAGACAAATCCACAAATTTTTCTTTTTATACCTATAAACACTTCTGTCAGTTGCCCCTTTCTTCGCCAAGCCTCTCCTCTTTCTTGCAGCCCAAATTCTCATGTAATTGGAAATTGAACCCAAATTTGTCTGCTACAATCTATCAATGGACTGAGAATCCACCTCCGGCAGCGATCCTCTCTACCCAAGAAAGCATTTGGACAAGTTCTGAGATTCCCGTCAGGAATTTTCTTCACTAATTACTTATGACCCACATCTCACATAGTTTTTCTCCTGAACTCACCATTGGTCTGCCTCAAGCAGGGGCCATCTTTGGGGGCAGAGCCGTGTGCTGGCCAATCAGAAGGCAGGAGGCTCAGAGGCCAAGGGGGAGGTGGGTCTGCCCAACACAACTGCACACAGGGCTCTGCTGGGCACCGTGAAGTCGAACGTGGCCCTTGCTCTTAAGAAACCAACTCTCTAGTTGGAGGAAACAAATCAGATGGACTAAGTGAATCCCAGAGTGAGGTACCATCATCCCAAACCTAAATTCTGCAGCCAACTGGGCCAGTAAGGGATGTTCCTATACCTAAAATATCTAGAATTGTTATTCCACTAGCAACCCGACATCAATCAATCCTGATGTCTGTTGTTATTAAGTAACACAATACCCCAAACTCAGTGGCTTCAACCATTACCTATGTATTTAGATATTTGTTCTTGGGGTTAGCGTTTAGATAGGGCTTAGCTGGGTAGTTCAGGTCTGGACCCAGCTGGGTGATGTGGGCTGGGCTCAGGCTGGTAGATGGCTGGGGCTCTTGTTCCACTGGCTTCCTGGGTCAGTACCACCCTTTGATCTCCTTGAGACTGGCTTTCTCCTCCAGCCTACCCCGCCCGGAGCTTTTTCTGAGGACAAGGCCACATCCCACTCTTATTTGTATAACTGGGTAACTCTCCATGGTCCCCCGTGCCTTTCAGCCCCTGGCATAATCCTTGTCTGATTGTAGATGCACAACACGAGTTTCTTGTATAGATAGTGCTAACACGAGAGGATAAACAAAATAGGCATAGAGTTTGGAGGTGGAGGAAGCCTCCTGCGTGATGCTCCCACAAGACCTTCAAAGCACACTGTGGCTCCCCCACACGTGAAGGACCTCCATGCCTTCCTCACACAACCCTCTATGGGGGGTGGCTTCTGCTCTGGTGATAGGGCCACCAAGTCTCTCTCTGATGGTTCTTTCCCTTTAACCAAGGACCCAGGACCCTGGCAAACAGGAGGCACTGTTGGTGTTGCTCAGCGGGAATGTGATTCAGAATCCCTGAGAGATGAGCAGCCCTTGCAAACAGAGCTGGGTTCAAGTCCAAATCCTCCCACAGACACTTCACCCATCCCCCATCCCCTGGAAACCCCACACCGTCCCCTCTATGTAAGAATCTCCCAAAGGATTTCCAGAGATCCTTGGGGGAGGGATCCCTGGTAGTCCAGTCAAGGTTGGCCAGTCAGACCCCTAACCCGTGGGAGCCATGGGAGAAACCGTAGGAGCAACCTGAAGGCTCTTCTCTGTAAACACCTGTTGGAAAAACAAAAACAAATTCTCCAAAGAATAAAGAAATTATGTCATCCCCGCATTGTCTCTTCCAAATGTCCGTTTGAAATCCTTCGCGTCCAACTCAGAAGAACCTTTCCTTTGTGCCGCTTCTTGGTCTTTCTCGGTGGCACTGGGATGGAAGGAGACTTCATTTGCTCCAGGGAGACAATGGCCTTGTCTTCAACCTGGATCCTCATCCCGGGAAAGGTGGCCTCCTCTGGGACCATTTTCAGAGTGGGGAAAAGCAGCTCAGGAGAAATAATGAGCAAGCAAAGGGGAGTCTGGACTTGACACTGAGATATGATGGGGAACTTTGCCAAGGAGCCGGAGTTGGCGTATTCAAAAAAGAAATGAAAAGACGGTTCCGTTTTAATGGGAAAGATAAAGTGGCCATTGTGCAAAAGTGGATTTTTCAAAAGCCAGAGACATAAAGACTCTAACGCAATGAGAGAGGGGATGGAGAGATGAGGTGGCTGATTATCAGGCGTGGGTGGAGTGCCATCCTCCACGCTCCACGCCGTCCACGGGCTCCTGGCTCTGCCTGGTCCCTTTCAAGTCGCCTGTCTGCATGGGCTCAGCTCATTATCATACGCATCTCTGGACAGCTTCCCTGACTCGGCACACCCACCAGCTGGAAAGCACAAAACTAACCCAACTTCTTCCCATTCCAAAATCTTCCCCGCCAGCCGCAGAGCGTCTTCCAAGGCCCCGGACAACAAAGGGCTTTTTGTCAAAGTCTGGTCTAGCGTGAGATTTACACCAGAGGCCAACTCCACGCACAGCCTTCCCGTTTGTTAGGCAAGAGCCACGACCTTATCAAGCTTGTGCCTGGCGAGTCCTAGTTGGCAGGCGGGGTCTTGAGAGGGAATGCTTGGAGACCCTCTCCCACGGCCACGTGTGAGTGTAGCCAAGGCCGTGGATGATGCCAGTCAAAGCAGTGGGGCCCTGAGGTTGAGATCACTGCTGAGATTCAGTGGTTACATGGACACAAGTTGCATCAGCTAAAAACCCTGCCATGTATTAGTATGTGACCTTGAGCAAGTGACTCAACCTCTCTCAGCTTCAATTTTCTTAACTTGAAGTCAAGCAAATGATACACCTGCTAGACGTGAGTGAGAATGAAATGAGATGGTGCGTAGTAAGGGCTCAGTAAACACCAGCTGTTTCAATGGCTCTGTAGACTCGGCTTGGGAGAAGCCTGATGCTGGGACCCAAAGGAAAGTGACTTCATGAGACTAAGGTGACGAATAAAGTCTCACGAAGAAATGCTCTCACAGAGCCACCCAACCAGGCGCTCCAAAGCTGCAGAATCTGACCTGGTCCACCCCCCACGGAACCAAGGAGGCCTGCTGGGCCCCAGTCCTGCTGCTCTCAGAGGGGAAATCGAGGCACAGAGAGGACAGTTAGTGCACAGCCAAGGCTTGACCTCCCTCACTCTCAATCAGTGCCCTTGGCCCTGCCAAATAACGACACAGCCTTGCGGGGTTGTAACACCCCTAAGTGAAAAGCCACAAAGCCTGATCCTGGCTACCCACCCCCATCAGTATGCAGAGCTGGAAAGACACGTGCTTCCTCCTTGAGGATTTTGAACTCTTTCAGGAAAAAGTGTTCAACTAAATAAGATGCTGATGCTGAGGTTTCTTCTGTGCCGTTCCCGTCCCTGCAGATTGGACTCCCGACTACTACGACTACAGCTCCGAGCATCAGAACCCGGAGGAGAACACCACCTCGTGGTCGACCTACGCCGAGAATCCCGACTGGTACTATGCAGACGACGGTAGGTACCAGATCTGAGTCAGGGCCCTCCGGGAAGGAGGCCACAAGCCCAAGAGGAATTTACCTGAGACCCAGTGTAAGGGCTTCTCTTCCCTCCTCTCTGATGAGCACGATAAATAGGTATTAAAAAATTCATTTAGACTGGATCTTTTTATTTCTTTTAAGTTTTTTTTTAATTTATTTATTCCAATTTGTTATATATGACAGCAGAATGCATTTCAATTTATAGTACACATATACAGCATAATTTTTCATGTCTCTGGTTGTACACAAAGTAGAGTCACACCTTTCGTCTTCATACATGTACCTAGGGTAACGATGTCCATCTCATTCCACCCTCTTTCCTACCCCCATGCCCCTCCATTCCCCTCCTTCCCCTTTGCCCTATCTAAAGTTCCTCCATTCCTCCCATGCTCCCCCCTACCCCCATTATGGATCAGCATCGACATGTCAGAGAAAACATTTAGCCTTTGGTTTTGGGGGACTGGCTGACTTCACTTAGCATGATATCCTCCAGTCCCACTTACCTGCAAATGCCATGATTTTATTCTCTTTTAATGCTGAGTAATATTCCATTGTGCATATATACCACAGTTCCTTTATCCATTCCTCTACTGAAGGTCATCTAGGTAGGATTCACAATTTAGCTATTGTGAATTGGGCTGCTATAAACATTGATGTGGCTGTGTCCCTGTAGTATGCTATTTTTAAGTCCTTTGGGTATAACCAAGGAGTGGGATAGCTGGGTCAAATGGTGGTTCCATTCCAAGTTTCCCAAGGAATCTCCATACTGCTTTCCATATTGGTTGCTCCAATTTGCAGTCCCACCAGCAATGTATGAGTGTGCCTTTTCCCCCACATCCTCACCAACACTCATTTGTATTCTTAATAGCTGCCATTCTGACTGGAGTGAGATGAAATCTTAGAGTAGTTTTGATTTGCATTTCTCTAATTTCTAGAGATGAACATTTTTTTCATATATTTGTTGATTGTTTGCATATTATCTTCTGAGAAGCGTCTGTTCAGTTCCTTAGCCCATTTATTGACTGGGTTGTTTTAGGCCCTGACTTCCTTAACAAGACTCCTATAGTGCAAAAAAATAAAAATCAATAATCCATAAATGGGATGGATGCAAACTGAAAAGCTTCTTCTCAGCAAAAGAAACAATCACTGTGGTGAAGAGAGAGCCTACAGTATGAGAGCCAACTTTTATCCCACGCACATCAGATAGAGCACTAATCTCCAGGATATATAAAGAACTCAAAAAACTTAACACCAAAAAAAATAATAATAATAACCCAATCAATAAATGGACTGTATCTTTTCCAATTAGAATCATACACAATGAGGCCTGGGGCGGGGAGGGTCTTGGAAACCATCTCCCCAACTCTTGAAGGGCAGATGGAGTCAGTGAGGCCAGGGGAAGAACCGGTTTGGTCAAGGTCTGGTGGCAAGCTAATGCCTTACACTCAGGGCTCCTGACTCGGGGACTAGTAGTCATGTTCAAAGTCCATTCTGAAGCTTTGATCTCAGGCTGGATCCGAGTTATGCAGAAGGATCTACGTTATCCTGGAGCCCTGAGTGTGGGATCCACAGCTTGGCTTTGAGCCTCTCTTTTGAGTCCATGTTTGCTGTGTTTTTCTTTGTCCTTCGCTCTTCGGAAGGTTTAGGTATGTTTGTGTGTGTGTGTGTGTGTGTGTGTGTGTGTGCTCACACATGTGTGCCTCCACCACACTTGTCTTGCGGCTTCTTAACCAGAGCAATTGGGGGCAGAAAGGAAAATAAGAAGCTGGGTCCAGGCAAAGCCACGTGACTGAGGCAGGAGAAGGCACGGAAATCAGGGAGCAAGTGGAATAAAAGCTGTGTTAACTGAGCAAAGTGGCCTGGAAGGCAGGGCCAAGATACAGGGCATCAGGGGAACTTCAGAAGGGACCATCAAAACAAGAGCCAGGCCCAGGGATCCGAGTTCCTGAACCAAAGAACAATGTGCGTGAACAGAAGGATAAAGAATTCCCCAAGGGGGAGGTCCATTCAGACAGCCATGAAAAGCCAAAGGCACAGATGAAATATGACAAAATCTAACTGAACAAGTAGTTGAAGAAAGATGAAGGCCACTGGGTCATTTCCTCCTTGCCGTCAATCCTTCTGTCACCCTCCGCCTTTGGTCTTCTCTCCTGATGTTCAGAAGCCTTGCGTTTCATGAGGGGTGGGTTTTCTTCCCCCACTCCTGACCTCCACCCCTGGGCACTGGGAGTAGGGAGGTCTCGGGCTTGTGAAATGCCTCCAGCATCAGAGACAGACCCCGCAGCACTCCCAGCGAGATGGGAGGAGAAGGACACTCGCGGGGGAGACGGGGAGTTTCGCAATGAGAAAGGCCCGGTCCACAGTGGGCCGAGGGGCTCCAGTATCCATCGCTCTGTCTCCCCTCTTACGAGCCTGAATCCCTGTCTCTGGTCGCGTGGCTGCAGTTTTCCTCGCTCTTTAAGGACGACGCACACTTTCCTCCTTTGCCCCATCCCTGGCTCTGTTCTCACTCTCTCGTTTGGGGCCGGAGACTGAAGTCGGATGAAAAGTGGGGGTTTCCTATTGGCTGACCCTCACTGACCTTGACTTCTGCCCATGTGTCTTAGATCCGTGCCAGTCCAACCCCTGTGAACATGGCGGGGACTGTGTCACCAGCGGGGACACCTTCACCTGCAGCTGCCCGGCCCCCTTTTCTGGGAACAGATGTCAGAAAGGTAAGTGCAGATTCACTCTTCCTTGGAATGGAAGGAGAAGCCGTTCCTCCTCCAGCCCTAGCTGGAGGGCCAAGTGACCCCACGGGAGGGACTGTGGCTGCACCTGTGGCATCACGCACGATGGATTCCTCACAGGCAGCATCTCTCTGCATTCTCCTCTCACACGGTGAGATGGGACTAGCATGTCCACTCTACAGATGAGAATACCGAGGCCAAGAGGGAATGAGGGCTGGGATCTACCCAAGGTGCCTTCCAAACTCAGGACTCAGCTTTCGGAACATTTGGACTAATCACACCAGAGAAATACTGTCCCCAAATGAGACAGCAGGAAGACCCTCAGGGCGCATCAGGTGCAACCCAGGTAGAGAAAGGAAGCCCAGAGTGCAGAGACTTGCTCCAGCTCCCACAGCGAGTTAGGAGGGAGCAGAAATGAGAGCCCTGGTACCTGGCTCCCAGCCCCAGGCTCTTTCATCTTTGCCATCCGCAAGGTGCTGGCCTTCTGTAAGCTCTTGAGGGCGTAACATGGAGACAGATCCATGGGATACCCATCAGGACTAGGACTCCTATGGGTGTTGCACCCCTAGAGAGAACCTGGACTCTGTCCAGTCTAGTACTGCAAAGAATCCTACTGGGATGTGGGGAGGTAGCAAGGGTCTGGAGCATATAGAGGACCTTGGAGCCGACTTCTTTCCTTTGTGTCTTTCCCATTTATTTCTTCCATTTTCAAACCTTATGTTCCTCCAATAAGTGTTTCAGGGTGGTCGAGGATGCTGGACATGGACATTGCATTTGAGTTCATCCCTCGACTTCTCAGAAGAAAGACAAAACTGTAAAATGAAATATGAAATCGGTTATAAGATGCAGAGACTAAAATACCAGCTGTTTGTTCAAGGTGTAAAATGTATCAAGGTTTTTACTAAAAAGAGGAAAAAACAAAGACTCTGAGCAGTGAAAGGAACATAGGAAGCAATCACCCTTGACCCAGGGATGAGAGAGCAGCCATCGGTGCAGCAGGGCATTTCAGAACCATGGACAAGGCCACAGACAGCTCTTCCGCCCACCCCACCCAATGCTCCATGCAGGTATCCCTCTAAACAAAAGGTGCCCAGACAATGTCTTGTGTTTCCCCCTGTTTCTCTGTCCATCTCCTACAGCACAAAACAAATGCAAGAACAATCCATGTGGCCGGGGCGAATGTCTCATCACGCACAGCACCCCCTACTACCGCTGCGCCTGTAAATACCCTTACACGGGTCCAGACTGCTCCAGAGGTAGGTGGTGGAACCCCCTTTTCTGCTTGTGCCTGAACCACTGCATCTCATTGTGTGCAAGTCCAGACATAAAGTAACTGACGTTTCCGTGGCATCCATGATGGCCTTCTGAACTAGAATTTTAAGACTAATCCTCCCTGGAGAGCCTAGTGGGAATTGACTGATCTGTGTCCCTTCCCATCCAGAAAGAATCAAAACCCACTCCCTCTGGGGAGTTGGCATTAAAGGATCCCTAAGATGGGCCATGCTGGGGGATTAGTCTACCTTGAATCACTGCTGAGTCAGGTGCTGTTCCAGGAGATTTGCAATCTCGTTCACATTCTCCCAAAACTTTGCAAGGAAGAGTTTTATAGATGAAGAAACTGAAATCAGACAGGTTAATTAACTTGCTCATGGCCACACAGCTATGCAAGGCAAGAGCCAAGTTTCAGCCTAGCCCAGACTTGTCCCCAGTTTCTGCTCCGCCTATGCCGGCCTCTTCTCCTTGCTGGGTGACCCATCTACAAACATGTGCTCTTTTTGCATGGCCTCCACCTGTGTTGCTTCTTCCACATCTGCTTATGTTCCTAGAGCTCATGTGTGCATTTACTAGAATGTCCATGGGTCTGCCTCTCCCCTTTGGTGATCCATCTGTTGTAAAAGGTGACAGCAGAAAAGTGCCACCAATATCCCCTGGTCGTCTCATAGGGAGGCTGCAACTCCTCCTGAGGAGCCCTCCTGGCCCCGCTTCCTGTGTTCACAGCGGCTCCTGTGTGCAGGCCCAATCCCTGCCAGAACGGCGGCACCTGCTCGCGGCATAAGCGGAGATCCAGGTTTAGCTGCGCTTGCCCGGAGCAGTTCAGTGGGAGATTCTGCGAAATAGGTATGGGTCTCAGCCAACACTTCCCCAGAAACTCAGGGCCACCAGGGAGGCCTCTGGAATCCTCTTCTGCTTGGGTTTTGTTGCCAGAACACAGTTCAATTGAGTTTCCCAAATCCTACTCCTGCCTCGTCCTCCCAACCCAAGGCTGTGTCTGGCTCCCGGTAAAGATGGTATAATCTGGGACATATTGCAGGCAGATGGATCACACCAGGGCATACCTGGGCTTCAATTCACCCTCTACATGTCCCTTTCTAGGCCCCAAGTTGAGAATTTAACTTCTCACCCACCTCCCAATCAGTATTTTTCATGTTTTGAAGTTGGGTTCAGTGTGGAACTTTCTAGAACCTTGTGATGAACTCTCCGAGTGATAACTGAAAGGAAAGTGACCACAACACTCGGAGCGACCAAGAGATCTTTTTGCAGAAGTGCAACAGAGGAGAAAAGAGAGAAAGAGAAAAGAGAGAGAGAGAGAGAGAGAGAGAGAGAGAGAGAGAAGAAAGAGAGAGCAAAAGCAAGAGCAAGAGAGAGCAAGAGAGCAAGAGAGAGAGGGGCCCAGCAGGAGGGAGTTTTTATAGCCCAAATCTAACGGGGCCTCTGGTCTGCAAGCTGCCTTGTTGGCACAAAGAGGGGGTTGAGTGTTCAGCCTTGAGAGGGGGTTGAATGTTCAGCTTTGACGCAAACAGGTGATAAAGGACCAGACAGAAGGAGGTTTGAGTGCGTGGGCCATCCTGCAGCTAACATTTGTTCAGCCTGCCCTGCAGATAACATAGTTCAGCCTGTTCTGCACCTAACAATAATGACTCAGGCCCCTTGAAGCAGCACACCCATCGCCCCCTGTCCTCACAGCCCTGTCGCCCTCTCCGAGGTCCTGACGACTGCTACGTTGGTGACGGCTACTCCTACCGCGGGAGTGTGAGCAGGACAGTCAACCAGCACCCCTGCCTCTACTGGAACTCCCACCTCCTGCTGCAGGAGAATTACAACATGTTCATGGAGGAGGCAGAGGCCCATGGGATTGGGGAGCACAACTTCTGTAGGTAAAGAGCACCACGGTCTCTGGGCCCAGTCTTGGTTGCCTGATTTGGAAACAGATCCTGAGACAGACTGGACGTCTTCTAGGGAGGTTTCCCACTCAGCAAAGTGCTGGGCACCTCCCTGTCCCTCTTGGGGCTGCTCCCTTCCTGAAGCTGTCTTCCTGGGGCCTCCTGGCTGGCTGTTCTCAGAGGATCTTGCCTGGGATCCAGAGGTTCGGGCTGAAGAATTCCCTTTCTGGTCCCTGGGATTTCCGTACCCCGGGCTCTGCTAACCCGTCAGAGGGTGTTGAGAGCCACAGCCGAAGGGGCCCCAGCAAACTTCCAGCTGCCAGCAAACTTCTAGCTGCCAACTGATTGGCTCCTCTGCGGTGATGCTCATTGGGCTGTTTCCCCGCCCTTTCAGACCA